AGGAGCTCACGCAGGGACTGCAAAGGGTGGTGCTTGTGAGGGGAACAGGGACCGAGCTCTGGAGCGGATGAAAGAAAGATTTTGCGGATTCTATACATACATAAATGGGTCAAGCGAGATAGTCTTATGATGGAGCGGTATATCTTGTTAGAAAATTCACGTGTATCACGTGTGTGTGTGTGTGTGTGTACAAGAACGCTTGGATCGATTTGTCCTCAGGTTGCGAAAAGAAATCGAAGGTCTTGTTCGGTTAACTTGCCTAGCGCTTGCTCAGAACCACCAACAGTCCTGTGCAAAAGTATTCGATAATCATTCTCGATACTATGAAACTATGATGACTTACCCTTCAAAAACCAGCTGCTTCTTCTCCTGTAGTTTGAGAATGCGTTCTTCCACAGAATTCTCGATAACGAATCTAGTCACCCTGGATTTAAAACGAAGGTTTAGTTGCTGGAACACCTCTTCCTTAAGAATGCCTACCTGATGGGCTTGTATTGGCCTATGCGGTGGATTCTGTCTTGAGCTTGATGCTCCACTGCTGGATTCCACCACGGGTCCATCAAAAAAATCTGCAAAAACAAAAAAGGATACGTTCGTTAAGCTCGCAGCACAAGCCAAGAAGAAGCTTACGTATGATGCTACAGTTAGATTGAGCGCCACGCCGCCGGCCTTGAGACTCATGAGGAAGAGCTTACACTCTGGGTCGTTCCTAAATGTGTCAATGGCAGTGCTTCGCTGAGACAAGGACATGCCACCATCGAGTTTTACACATTTGACTCCAGCCTGCATGAGAAAACTGGCTAGTAAAAAGAGCTTCCAAAGGCAGAGCTAGAACTTACGAGTTCGAAAGAGTATCCAATCAAGTCCAGCATTGACGTAAACTGGCTGAATACCAGACCCTTGGCAGATGTATCCTTCGAGATCATCTTCTTCACTTCCTCCTTCTGCGATCGGCAATGAGGATCAAGGAAACTGTGGGTTTGTTCAGCTACTCACCAGAGCCTCGATTTTGGTGCTTGTAACGAAATCATTCAAATCCAGTCTGTTGATGATGCTCCCTTTTCTATAGCCTGTTAACTTCTTTCCAACAACCTTTGAGCTCTTGGCATCAACCGTGAGAGGCGTCTCGCATCTTGGGCAAGCTATCTTGGTGTCCTCGGAGCCTTCCGACAGTAAATTCTCCAAACATGATCGACAAAACGTGTCCTTGCATTTTGCAGACTGCAGACATTGTTGAAGTGAGCTGCCAAGGAGAAAATACTACATACCACAGGATCAATGCAGTCCTCGTCACAAATTACACAGAGAGGAGTAGTCACAGATACTCCCGACGCGCCAGTAGCAGAATGAACGACAAGGTAAGGATGGTCCACTGCCTGGCGTAATCTGGTAAGCAGGTCAAATATGTGACCATAGTTGTTGAGAACAGATCCTTCTTTCACGTATCTGGAGCCCGGCATTGTCAACTCGTCGTTTAGAAAAGATCTAAGACTTACGTGTTAAAGACGGATTTGCTCTGTGAGTATAAAGACTGATAATAATCATCCTCTTTGGCATCGAAAACTACCTTCCGCACGAACGACTGCAGGCCAGAGCGCATTTAGAATGAAGTTCATCAAACAAACACATTAAGAGAAGTCCCACCAGTTTTGGAGGCATAGAGAGGTCTGCTGCACGTTCGATTTTGGTCCGCCGCAGGAGCATTTCATCCAGCAGCTTTTGCCTCAGTAACTTCATAGATTTCCCACCTCCCTGTTGAAATCCGAACCTTGAAATAGGTTGAGCAATAAACTGCAAAGAACAAGCGGTTCAAATGTGTCCATAATACAGGCAAAACTTACTTTGTTCCACCAACAAAAATGAAGTGTGCTGGCGTGCTCACACTTATCGCACATTGTCGCCCTACAACAGAACATCAACATCCGAGAGAAAACAACACATCGAAACTTACGAGTATTCGAGCGATTTACAGTCACACTTCTTACAGAAAAAATACGCATAAGGATTTATTTCCAAATAACGAACCTGCAGATAAAAGGAAAAAAAAAGTCAAGCCAAGAAAAAAACAACCGTGAAATATCCTTACAAGTGAATAAAGTTCGCCAACGCGATTCTGCAGCGGTGTACCACTTAAGCCCCACTTGTAACAAGACTGCAGTGCAAACACCGACTTGGCAGTATTGGAGGCTCTATCCTTTATCGTGTGTGCCTGAAATCCGTATGGTAGAGTCACACGCTAGAGTTGGGACGTATCATACCTCATCGAGGATAATTCGCACCCATTTCACGGAATGCAGAAGCGAAAAATCATCTTTGGCCGCACTCCCTTTCCTCTGATTCACCGCCTTCTTCACTTCCTTTTTTTTTCCCTTCTTCTGCTTGGATTGCGCCGCACTCTTTTTGGCCTCGGGTCCACAGTGATACTTGTAATGCTTCGCCAACCCTTGCGCGGAGTAAGCTTTCTGGCACCATTTGCACCTCAGCTTGTCGGGCAGGATCTTGCGATAGTCGTGCTCGATAATCGAATACGTCGTCAAAACCACGTCGTGCTTGGCCAACTCCTTGACAGTTATATGCTTCCGGTTTCCATGGTAGATAAGCACCTTCAAAGTCCCTTCCTTGGTGAACCGTTCTATCTCACTCTTCCACTGCTCGATTGCCACCACCGGACAAACCACCAGAGTCGTGTTGAGATTTTTCGCATCAGGAGCATTCGGGTCGTGCCCGTGTCCTGCTGTTCTGCCTGCAATGATGAGTGAGATGGCCTGGATAGTTTTTCCCATCCCCATCTCGTCGGCAAGAACACCACCCCGCATGTTTGACTCCTCCCGCGACAAACTCCACGTTAGAAACTCCCCTTGAAACGGCAGCAGTGGAAACACGAGCTCCGATGGCGTCTCGTGCTGCGCCAGGACTTTCTTCTTCGGCTGATCCTCTTCCATGTCGTCGTCACCCCATCTGCTGCATTTCCCTATCTTCACTATATCCGTCTCCAACTCTCGAGCCCACTGCTTCCATTCCAAGTTCTCGGTGGCGGGATCATAGTTGTCGTCGTCATCCTCGTCTTGCACAGCGTTCTTGCTCTTTTTCGCTTTCTTCCTTCTGCTTGGCCCCGTCCAGTCCTCGAACTCGTCTCTGGTGCCATACCGTCGCTTTGGAGCTATTACCGTTGGAAACGGCGGTGCTGTGGCAACAGAGAGTGGCTTGACGTCCACATCTTCCTCCATTTTTACTTTGCCCGGAGCACTGATATCACTGGCCTCTTCTTCGTCACTGGTCTCGGCGTTTTGGAAGCTCTCCTCTGATGGGTCCATCTTCTCAGATCGATGCGATTCGACGGACTCGCCGTCGGAATGGCTGCCGCTAGCTGCATGGCGCGGATCGTGAGCTACAAGTGAAACGGAGAAAAGGAAACAGAAATTAACTCACCATCGTCTTCTGCGCGATAATCTTCATCCTCGCTCTCGCTCCATGCTGCCAGGACAAGCACGCCGATCCATTGCTGTGGACGAGGAAAGGGGGCGAAACCATACCTTGCCTCTTGCTGCCCCTTTTGCCGCCCGCCATCGCCGCTTCGCCCTAGCAACCCTAAGGCTCCCAGTTTTTTGGCGCGAGATTTTATGTCCGGCCGCTACAAAGCTTCGCACACAAGACCCTCTGCTTTTAGGTGGATAATTTAAGCAAGATTCCCTGCCACGTTTGCCCTTAGGGTTTGCAACATTATTATTAACAACTCCTTGAACCGTCGATAAGCAAAATCTTGCAAATCGTGGCGGCGAAGAAAAGAAAAAAATTCACAGCAACAGTACCAGATTTTCTTCCCCGATCCCGATCGATCGATCGATCGATAGATCTAGCGAGCTCATGGATCTCCCCGATAGATATAATTCTAGCCCATGGATCACGAACTTGATAGTTGTGGATGCGGTGGAGAGTATGATCCAGGGGACGATGGCGACAACGAGGAGGACGTGGATGCTTGAGCTATGCTCCTGGGACCAAATCCCTGCTCGATCGATCTCGCCAGCGACGCCGCCCGCCGGTGCTCAATGTATTTCTTCGTCTTGCACACGTAGAGCACCAGCGCCCCGATCGAAGCCACGAAGAACACGATCACAACCACAATTGCGATCTTCTCGCCTGGGCTGTGAGACACGACAGCGTCTAGATTTGCATTCTGGACAACACCTGCGTGATCCGGAGAAGCCGCTGGTGCCGTGATTTCGAGATCATCCGGAGATAGCGTCTTCTCCAAGAACTTGGGACGAGATTCTGCTGGAGAGTTATGCTCTAGCGTTTGTCGTCTCCCTGTCGCCTGCTCCGATTTGATCAAACCAGGGATTTCCACTCCAAAGCTATGATCCTCATGATACCTGATGACATGTTTCGCTGGCAACAATCTATTGCCGCTGGCGACATTGGGTTCCAGCACCAAAACCAGAAGAATCACAAGCATCACTGCCACATTCATGAGAAGTGAGCTTCTCCCCGCCATAGCGTCCACAGAAAAAGTGCCACTATGTGATGGCAATGTTGTGTGGCGATCAATTTTCTGACCTCAAGGTTGATTTAAATCAAGTAGCCTGGAAACTAGCGAAAAACCATGGAAGCCGCAGTGGGACGCATTAGGAAACTTCTCATAGACGTGGAAAATCCTCATGACTTCTTTATGATTATTCTGAAATATTTGCTCGGAATTTAGTCAACCAGTGGGACATGGATCAGGTCAGCCCAACACATTCGGGGAAAAAGGGAAAGAAAAACCTTGTTTTAGTTTGAAGTTTCCTTCCTGGTGGAAGGTCGAGTCCAAACAAACTCTGACCTGCAAGCCGGTAGTTCACAAGTTCGTTGCAGCGGCATCCTAGATGCGTTTAATCCACAGGATGTGATCAACGTGATTTGCCTGTAATCGAGATGAACCCAGACGATAAGCCAACACACGCAGGCATGAAGATTGCGTCCCGGGCTCTTACACGTAGTTCCAGCATTGAAATCTCGGCAATGCATTCATTTGGTTCCATCCTCTAGCAGATCTATCTACGGCGGTCGCGTCCCTCAGCCCTTGCGCGTCGTTCTTCATCGCTTGCGATTTCTCCGCTGGAATGACAGAACGTTTTCACGCTCGCTATTGCTCTGCAACATCACCGTCAGCAATCCGCAGCAACGGTAAAAGTTCCCCGTACCTCAAAAGGTGTTGTTCAAGTTCCAATGCGATTGGTGGTTCTAGAGCGAGCTTCTCCTCAATCAGAAGCACGAAACACATCCAAAGTTCGTGCTCACCGGCGAGCAGAGCAGAAAAATTCATCCACTTCCAGTGCCGCTCTGCAACAACAGAGGCACCATTGAGCAGCAGCAGCAGCAGCAATACAGCAAACAAGGAGCAAATCATGCAGCTCTACAAGTACCTTAGCTCCAGAGGCGAGATGATCGAGGAGGAGCTGGACAGAATCATGTCGAACCTCGTCAAATCATGCCCGGCACAACTCCACAAAGCAATACGCTACTGCACAGCGGACGAAGAAGGTAGGCACTTGGCATCGCTGTGTATCGCTGCTTGCGAGCTGGTCGGAGGAGACCGCCACGCAGCACTTCCAATGGCTTGCACCATCGAGATGTGGATGGCGATCATACTCACGACTGACGACCTCCCATGCATGGACAATGCAAGGACGAGGAAAGGAAGGGCTGCGGCACACGTAGAGTTCGACGACACCACTGCTATCCTCGCGGCACAAGCACTTGCGGCACTGGCTTTCGGGACGGTCGTGGACTCCACGCTCGTCTCGACGGACAAGAGGCTGAGGCTGGTCAAGGAATTCTCTCTCTCAATGCAGAGGCTTGTGTATGGACAGTACGACGACGTCAAGAAGGGAGAGAGCTTGGAAACACTCGAGGAACTCAACGCCAAGAACACCAACAAGACGAGCTCCTTCTTCGAGCTGCCGCTGGTAGCGGGGGCTATAGTCGGCGGCGCCGGCGAGGAGGAGATTGAGGGCCTGAGGAGATTTGGGCGATATTTCGGCCTCATGTGGCAAGTGAACGACGATCTAAGCGACGCGACCATGACGGCGGAGGAGATGGGCAAGGACGCGAGTAGTGACGTCAAGAATCGCAAGACAACATACTTGACGCTGGTGGGAGCCGAGAGGAGCGCGCAGCTGCGAGACGAGCTCGCGAATCGAGCCCGGGAGGCGCTGCTCGAGCGCTTCCCCGCCAAGAATGTGAAGATCCTGCTGGGAATCGTGGAGGCGACACGCCGATTTGGTTCGATCTACAAGAACTCTCAGCTCCTTTCCAAAATCTAAAATATCTATTCTAAAGTATCGCAACCGTTGGAAAAATGTATACGGCTAGGGTCCTAGCTTGCTGGCTTGTGGCGATGGAGCTTGACCAGCGTAGCGTAGGCGCCATTGGGCTTTGTGATGAGCTCCTCGTGGCTGCCCTGTTCCACAATCCCTCCATTCTTCACCACCGCAATCATGTCCACGCCCACAATCGTGGACAATCGATGCGCCACAACCACGCTCGTCTTGCCCACCATGATCCGATCCAGCGCTTCCTGGACCAGCCTCTCCGACTCTGCATCCAGCGCGCTCGTTGCCTCGTCCAGGAGCAAGATCTTGGGCTCCTTGAGCACCGCCCTCGCGATCGCGATCCGCTGCTTCTGCCCGCCCGAGAGCTGGATTCCCCTCTCCCCGACCTCGGTCTCGTATCCTCCCGGCATCGCGGAGATGAAGCTGTGCGCGTTGGCGGCCTTGGCGGCCGCGGTGATCTCTTCCTCGCTCACGGGCGCGCCGCTCTCTCTCCCATACGCGATGTTGGACCGGATGCTGCCGCTAAACAGTGTGGGCTCTTGGCTGACCAGGGCGATGTTTTGTCGGAGCCAGCGTAGCTTGAGCGATCGAATGTCGACGCCATCGATGAGAATGCTGCCCGAATCTGGGTCGTAGAACCTCTCCAGTAGCGAGATGACTGTGGATTTGCCGCTTCCACTCTCGCCGACCAGCGCCATGGTCTGCGCAACACAGAAAACAGCCCGGGAAATTTCAAAACCGAAAATTTAAAAGGGAGACGTACCTTGCCCGCGGGGATGGAAAAGCTCAAGTTTCGGAAGATCTCCGCCTCGTGCCGCGCTGGATAGCGGAATCTCACGTTCCGGAACTCGATGTCTCCGCGAGTCGATTCCAGCGTCTTGCCTTCCTCGTTGGAAGGATCGATCTTTGATTTCCTGTCCAGAGTCGCGAAGATCGAGTTCACTCCCGATTTCACCTTTGCAAAGTCGGGGGCGAGCGACACTCCCTGAGCTATGCCGAATGCGCTCATCGTGATCGCAAAGAACACCTGGAGGATCACGAAATAAGATCAACCATGAACAAGGTGCTTACCTTAAACACGTTTTGGAAGCTTGTTTTGCCCTCCCTGACAAGACGAGCTCCAAACCAAAAGCTGAAGGCATAGGCTGCGAACATAACGAAGCTCGAAATGCCGAGACCGATTCCACTCACAACTCCGTTGCGAATCCCGTTCCTGGTTGGGATGGAGCACTTTGTTTTGTAAAGCTCCAGCATTTTAGCTTCGAGGCAGTAAGAGCTCACAGTACGAATGCTGCTCACTGCATCGTTTGCGATTTTTGTCGCCTCTTCATACATGACCTGTGCGTGCATACAAGGAGGATGTAAGCAAAACATTGATCGAGCAAAACATAAAACGAAGGTGGAAAACTTACCTTCGCATCTTTGCTGAAACCGATCATCATCTTGGTCTGGACTACGCCTTGAGCTCCGAGTAGTGGAATAAGTGCCAAGACAACAAGTGACAATATCCAGTTTGCAGTGAACGCGATGACGAGCCCTGCAATGAGTGACGCCAGATTTTGCAGCAGCAGCGACAAGGAATCGCCAACCATGCTCTTGACATGAGCAGCATCTACTGAGAGCCGGGAACTGATTGCTCCACTAGAAAAAAGGAAAGAAAAACCTTAGAAAAACTTTCGAAATAGAGCTAGTCAAAGCTACCTTGAATTGGACGGATCGTCAAACCAGGCAATCTCCTGACGAACAACGGACTCGAACGATCTCTTCCGGACTCGTCGAATGAGTCTCTGGCCGATGAATCCGAAGGCGCTGAGTTGTATGGGAGAGATGATCAAGCACGCGGAAGCTTGTACCAGGAACATGCTCGCCCAGAAGTTGGCGTCGTGTCTCAGCTTGTGCCGGTTCGTGCTGTACAAAACTCCGAAAATGTTGGACAGAAGCAGGCCGAAGACCGGAAACACCACACCGTTTGCAGTGGAAGCAAGAGCTCCAACGATGAAAACCGGTGTTTCTGGCTTGTTCATAGCTGCGAGGCGAAGAAAGTTGTTCCGGGTTACTCCTGTTTTTCCGTCGCTCTTGTCGGCCTGCTCTGGATCGACACTCGCCGTTCTAGTCAAGGAGAACGAACTTCGAGTTACGTTGCGTTTGCTTCCAAACGATCCACGGCTGCTACTCCTGCTCAGCCTTCGTTCATCCAGCTCTTGATCGATTACTACCACCTCGTCTGGATCGATTGCTTGAGCAGCGCTCAAGCTCTGGTTTGACTTCACGTCGTGCATTTCTTGGAGACGAACTAGTTGTTCGTAAGCTCCATCTGGCCTCTGAATAAGTTCCGAGTGTGTCCCTGCAAAGATACGAGCGTGACTTGGATGATCTAGAGTTTCAAAAGGTGTAGATTTACCTTTCTCCACAATGCTTCCTCTTTGAACAACAGCGATGCAGTCTGCGTTTTTGATCGTGGAAAGCCTGTGAGCGACGATCACTGTTGTCCTGTTCACCATGATCCGGTCCAACGCTTCCTGCACCACTCGCTCCGACTCGGCATCCAAAGCGCTGGTTGCCTCGTCCAGCAGAAGAATGCGAGGATTTTTTAGTATAGCTCTAGCGATGGCCACCCTTTGCTTCTGTCCGCCAGAAAGCTGAGTCCCGTGCTCTCCAACTTGTGTGTCGAATCCCTTACAGGTTGGAAGCAAACAAAAGATAACTATGGAACTTTCCATGAAAACTTTGAAAGCATTTACCTTTGGCATCTTGCTGATAAACTTCGCAGCGTTCGCAAGGCGAGCAGCTTCCATAATCTCCTCCTCAGTCGCTCCCTCTCTGCCATAAGCAATGTTCTCTCTGATGGAGGTTGCAAACAAAACCGGTTCCTGGCTGACAAGTCCGATCTGTTGGCGTAGCCACTTCGGCTGGAGCTTCCGGATGTCGACACCATCGATCAAAACCTCGCCAGCCTGAGGATCATAAAACCTCTCGATCAAGCTTATCACCGTCGACTTGCCGCTGCCACTCTCCCCGACCAAAGCAACTGTTGTCCCAGACGGGATTTCCAGATTGAAGCTCGTAAACACCGGGACATCTGGACGTGTGGGATACGAAAAGGTGACGTCCCGAAGCTCGATATCGCCCTTCACACTCTCTAGTGTTTGTCCGCTCATGTCAAAGGCATCAATCAGAGGGACTCGACGAATGACTTCGAACATCTTGTAAGCTGCAGCTCTTCCGGATGCTATCGCAGTAATACTGGGTGAAGTTTGTCCCAAAGACCTGACAAAAGAGAAAGGTTTGCTGCTTCTGAAACGTTCTAAAACACTTACATGCCTCCGGTGAGCACAGCAAACAAGACACTGATGACATCTCCACCCGAGTATCCACCGTTTAAAACCAGCTTTGATCCATACCACAGCGCTAGACCATAGCTGGAAAACATGGTGAACAGCGTGAAACCAAGGCCAGCTCCCGATGCGACTCCTTCAAAAACTCCAGCTTTGTACGCTTTCGTAAGTGCTGTCTCGTAGTCAGCCATGGACTTACGCTCGCCAGTAAACGAAGCCACCTGTAAAAAAAGTCGTGAAATTCCTGCTGGCCTGGAAGTTTCATCTTGGACCTTCTGGTGCAAAGAAAAAACACTTACAGTTCTGATGCCTCCAGTGACTTGTTCCACCACAACTGCCGCCTCGGCGTAAGCTTTCTGGCCTCGACTCGCCATTTTGGACATGAGATTGGCCATCATCCCTCCAGCAAAAACGAGCAGAGGCATCACGGACATCATCACTAGCGTGAGCTTCCAGCCTTTGATGAAGGCAATTACAAAACCAGCAAAGAAAGCGGTGGTGAATTGGATGAGCTTCGACACCTGCGAGAAAGAAGAACGCTCACACATTTCGTTTCTCGAGTTTTTCTGTACCTTTTCACCCATTGCATCTTGTATGAGGATTGTATCTCCGGACATTCGACCGATCACTTCTCCCGTCTTGGTTTCTTTGTCAAAAAAGGAGATGTCTTGTCGCAGAATGGCTTTGAGATACAAGTTTCGAATCCTCGCGGCTTGTCTCTCTCCGGTGCACATCCAGCACGCAAGTTCTGTAAAACCGCCGCACGATCACACTGCGTACAAAAACGTGGAAATAATACTTACGAAACAAAGATCCAATAGAAGCCACGATCCCGAGATACACAAACCTTAACGACACCTGATTCAGTCCGTCGAGAAACTTAGAAACAGAGTAAAGCTATGGAAATATATTCCGCTTCTCCTTCTTTCTTTTTTAATTTTTTTTTCTTTTTTTTCTTCTTCTCGATCGAGAATGAATGACTTTACCTTGGAGACTTCCCTGGAGAGGCGATCCACATCGCTCACGTTCTGCCCAAACGAATCCGTCAGCTCGCCGAAGACAATCGCCATGAGCGGCATCGTCATTCCGTTTGCCACAGCGCCGGCAGTTCCCAGCACCATGAGGAGAACATCCATCCAATCCGCGAAGCTGAAGAGCTTGAAAATGGGGACAACTTGAGTCGCGGACTGATCATCTTGCACTGCTGCGTTCGATCCAGGGACATCCTTTTCTACCATTCTCGAGCTCGAGCTCGAAAAAACAAAGAAGGACAAAGTGGAACTCTATGTACCTGGGAGTGGGAGCGACCTTTATTGGAAGAAGAAAGCTTAAGCGCCAAGAAAAATACCTAGGCAGCTACTACCAAGCTGCTTCCGGTCAAGGTTCGGGACCCAAAAACGACAGCGCCTGTGCGTTAAATTATGCATTTCGTGCTCATTTCCAAGTCGGTTCCTTGGAAATATCTAATTGTAGTATATTGTACCTGCTTAGCCCAAAGCATTACAAGTTAAAGAAAGACATGGGCTATTTAACATTAGCACACAAAATAAATTTTTATAATCTTGAGCAGGAATATCTTTTAGCTCATCCAGCAATGGGAGCAATGCTCTGTGGCTCCTATATTGCTACCACCACCAGAACTTCTAGCTTCATCGA